CCAGACGAATCGTATAAGCCGAGAACCTATCGCGGATTCTAAATCGGTATGGAATCAGGTTAAATCGCAACGGGCAAAACGAAAGCCGATTAGTCATCGCACAGCCCTAATCCGAGAGTAAACCTAGGTCTTGCCCTAAACCCAGCACACTGGTCGCTAACGTCTCAAGGCATGAATCGAGATCCTAAAGGCATGTCTCCTCGCCCACCTCTAAGCACTCGCGAAAAACGAAATCTCCCGATTTAACGAATCGGACGATCTACACCTAAGAGTTAGGTACGAGATGACAACTCGTGTTCTTCCCTCTACATCCAACATAAAAAAGCGCGAATTTCATACTTAGAAAATATTTTCTTATTAAACAACCGAATACACACCGCCCGGCGGTAGGGATTCAAAGCCACCAACGGCCAGTCCCGGAAAAACAACGACAAAATCGAAAAAAATAAGAACATCACACATCAAAGTCGTCAAAAGCAGACTGATCGACCTCGCCACCCATATCCGGGATCTCAGGTCCAACTTCGATCGAATCCGGCGATACTACGATAGGATCCCACTGATCCCATAAAACCTGTCCGGGGTTAGCAGATCCGTTCTTTTTCTTCTCTCTCTTAGCTAGACGCTTTTTCTGCTTCGCAATCGCAGCCTCATACGAATAGTCCGACTCTTGGGTAAGATGCAAACCCCCGACTACGCCCCGACGCTCGCGGAAATTACCATTCGCTCTTTGCGCATCTTCAAATTCCGCATAAAGAGGCACGAACCGCTCGCGACGAGCCATCAACTCCGCAGCAACCTCCCTTTTGCCTGCCCTACGAGCACGGCGGGCCATCGCGTCGGAAAGTTCTAAGCTTCGACGGGATTCGGCTTCGTATTCTTCTCTCACACGAGCAGTCTCCTTCGCGGCCAAATCCTGGGCACGAGAGAAATTGGCATCGATCTCCTCTCTGATACGGACAGCCTCTGCCTCTGCTGCTGCAGCCCTGGACTCAGCCCTGCGAAGCTCCGCACTATTCGCATTCACCGCCTCGCTCATAAAGCGAAGACTCTGCAAAACAGAACAAACATCCTTCGTAAAAACGTACGTACACAATCATAAAAAGAATAGGCAGACCTTGTTGAAAAGCCTCGACGCTTTCGCAAACGGTGTGTCGGCTGGCCCTCGAGATGACGTCTCAGCCGGATCGAATTCGGAAGGCGAAAAATCGATAAGGTCTTCGATGTCAAAATCATCGATAGATGCCGGATCGCGGTCAACCGGAACTTCTCTATCCTTCGGGGATCTAGATCTTTCCCTCTCCTCCGCACCATCGTCCGCCTTAAGATCGGTATGACCATCACAAGAAAAACCGGACGAATAATAGGCGGCAGCTCGACGGATCCTTTTCGGAGAAAAAAATCCC